AAAGACTGATCTTTAATGTAGTAACTATGGATCCATTTAATCCACAGTTTGTCCTTCTTATTTGCCAGCTCCCATGTATACTTTGTTATTGCTTCTTTGTTCCACAATGCCAGATTAACCAGGTGTAGTCCCCCTGTAGCTTTTGGTGAACACATCCTCTCCCAAGATACCAGTGCCTTTTTTGTAATTACATTCTCCCCTGACCAGACATAACTTCTGCAATAAGCCTCAATTGTCTTGACCACTTTAGCTGGCATGATGAAAATTTGAGCCCAGTATGCTTGGATACCAAAGATAACATGCTGAACCAATTGAATTCTACCTGCATATAACAACTTCCTAGCTGTCCAAGATGAGATTCTTGCTACTATTTTGTCAATAAGTGGCGGCCATTGCATGATAGATAGCTTCTTGGAGTCAAGGGGGATGCCCAAGTATTTAAAAGGCAATGACCCTTGGCTGTACCCTAGTTTTCTCTGAATCTCCTTTTGAACCTCCTCACTGACTCCTCCAAAATAGATAGAACTTTTTGCTAGATTAGCACTAAGTCTTGAAGCTGCTGAAAAGATCTGAAATCTATCATGAACTTGACTTGCTGAGGTTATACCTCCTCTTGCAAAGATCAGAAGGTCATCTGCAAAGCTCAAGTGAGTTAAGTTCAGCCTTGCACACAAAGGGTGGTGATGGTATCCTTTCTCCTGCTTTAAGGTCTTTAAACTCCTGCTGAGATATTCCATAGCTATGGCAAATAAAAAGGGTGACATAGGGCCCCCTTGTCTCAGTCCCCTAGCTGCATCAAAAGGCTTTGTTGTTTCACCATTAACAAGAATTGTGTAATTCACTGTTGTCACACACTCCATGGTCCAGTTGATGAATTTAGTGGGAAATCCCAGTGCCTCCAACATTTGATGCAGGTATCTCCATTCTACCGTGTCATAGGCTTTTTGGATGTCCACTTTGATAAAGCATCTAGGAGAGATATTCTTTCTAGAGTAGGCTTTGACTAGTTCATGAGCAAGAGTCACATTATCTGCAACCTTTCTTCCTGGGATGAATCCAGCCTGAGTCTCTGAAATAATGGATGCAATGACTTTCTGTATTCTATTAGCAAGAACCTTAGCTATCAGTTTATACAGCACAGTGCAACAAGCTATAGGTCTATATTCTCTGATGTTAGTGGGATTTGGGACTTTAGGCAGGATAGTGATGGCTGTACAGTTCACTGCCCTATACAACTTCCCTGTGACAAAGAAGTTTTTGACTGCTTGATAAACTTTATCTGCTATTATTGGCCATCCTTTCTTGAAAAATACTACATTGTAACCATCTACCCCTGGAGCTTTATCATTTCCAATTGCAGTTAGCCCTTCATATATTTCATGCTCAGTGACTTCTGCCACCAAGTTTATCTGCTGTTCATGATTAAGAACTGGCCCCTTCTTCATTATTTCTCTATTGACTGCTGGTAAATTCCCTATTGTTGATCCCATCAATGCCTTGTAGAAGCTAATAATCTCTGCTTGTATCTGCTGCTGGCCAGTTAATTTGTTTCCAAAGCAATCTTGTAGTTCTGTGATCACTTTCCTTTGCCTTTTTTCCTTCATTACTGCTGAAAAGTATTTAGAATTAGTATCTCTAAGTCTTAGCCATGTAGCTCTAGCCTTCTGTTGCAGTACGCTTTCTTCTATTAAGGAACATTTCTCCAAATACTCTAGAGCTTGTTTTTCCTTATTAGCTAGTTTATCTGAATAACCTTTTGATATTTGAGCTTGAATATCCTGTAGCAAACTCCTAGTTGATTCCAGCTTATCTGTGATGCCCTTGAATTCACTATTGTTGATCTGCTTCAGCAAAGGTTTTAGAATCTTCAGCTTTTGCCATATATTCTTCATAGAGTCCTGATCTTGCTGTTCTTTCCATACTTCTTCTACCAGTGGCATAAATCTTGGATGTTCTGCCCAGACATTAAAGAATCTAAAAGGGATATTGCCATTTGGTACTTGCCTTCTGATAGAGATAACCATTGGAGCATGGTCTGAAATAAATGGGAGCCTATATTCTGCTTCCATATGCCCATACTCTTGCATCCATTCATCATTCCCTAAAGCTCTATCAATCCAGCTATATACTCTATCTGTTCCTTGTTGTTTATTTGACCATGTATAGTAGTCTCCCCTCCAAGCCAGCTCATGTAAATTCAGAGTCTGCATACACTCATTGAAGTCTTGTATTTCATTCCTTGTAACTATTTTCCCATAGATTCTGTCTTGAATTGTTAAGACAGAGTTAAAATCTCCCCAGATAATCCAAGGTTATGTGTTCTGAGGTGCATCAGTCTTCAATTGCTGCCATAAAGGTTTCCTTTCTTCTGTAGTATTAAAACCATATACTACTGTCATAAGATAGTTTATATTGTTGTGCTTGCTTACAACTCTGCAGTGAATTGTTTGAGCAGATTTCCCTAAAACTGTAATGTCATAACTCTAAGGATCCCAAAATTCTCCCATTTATTGCATATTCATAGTTTTATTGAGCTTGCCATCCAGGTGTCACTAACTGTGAAATCTGAACTGCTTTTTCCTTCTTTACTCTAGTTTCCACTAACCCCACTAGCTTTATATTATTCTCCTTTATATAGGTACCTAACTCCTTTTATTTGTATCTCTTGTTGGTACCTCTTATATTCCATACCATCCAAGACATGTCAATGTTGAGACTGCCCACCTATATTAGGTGGTTTTAAGATTGCTATCACAGCTGTACTCTAGCTTGTTTGGGGCCTTTGTTTCACTGGGGACATGATTGCTTTGGCATAGGTCATTTGAGTGTCATCTGCCTTCATTTTCCCTTTATCCACTTGTCTGCTTGTTTCCATTGCTTCCTCTTCTTTTTGATGATCTTCCTTACTTTCAGTTAGCTTAGAAACATTCACAACTTCCTTGCTGGCTTCTTCACCTTTTTCTGATTCACTTCATCTGTCGTAACTTTAGCTGGCTCCTTTGTTCTCCATATTTGTTTTACTGGTGGTGGCTTCATATTCCTGGGCTGAGGACATTGTTTATCACTTTCCTTTGGGATTCTACTGTAGTTATGCCCTTCCTTTAAACATTTTTCACAAAACTCAGGTTTCCAATCATATTCAACTGCTTGTTCAAATATCACCCCTTCATCATTCATGACTGGGATACTAGTTGGCAGAGGCTTTGTAACATTCACTTCTATCAGGATTCTAGCATAGGAGATTCTTGTCTGTTTAGCAGTACACTCATCTGCAAACATAGGGATCCCTATTGTACTTGCTATTCTACTCAGTGAGTTCCCACTCCAACAGTTCATGGGAAGCTTTGGGAACCTTAACCATAGTGGAATATCTATCAAGAATTCTGCTGCAAAATCAAAGTATGGAGACCAGTGTTTCATTATCATTGGTCTTCCATTCACTGTATAAGGCCCGGCACACATGATTTCCTTCATTTCTTCCAAAGAATGAAATCTCACAAGATAATATCCCTCATCATGATAGAACATATCTGGCATGGCAACTGTGTTCCACATCTGATTGATGTACCTTTTCATATAGTTATATCCTGGTTTCTCACCCAAGACATAGACTATCAAAGCACTCTTCCATTTCAGATTTTCCTGCTCAATTTCTGATTTCTCAAGTTTAGCTACTAAATTTCCTTCTACAATTTCAGGGGTAATGTAAGTCAGTGTCACACCATTTGCTGTAGATCTATTGCCTGTGAGTACATTAGCCCAGGTAGACTCTGTAGAGGTAGCTTGCTTTTGCTCTTTATTCATCAATGGAACAGTAATTTCAGCTGTCTTAGCTATATTTTCCTGTTCTTTGCTCAATGGAACAATAATTTCTCGAATTGCAGGTGGTGTGATGATTCCTCGTAAATCAACATGCATACGGATCGGGCTCTGATTTGCTTGTTTCTGCTGTTGTTTAGCTGATCCTGAAGCTTCTCCATGGTAGATCTATGGTGGAAGTACAAATCCAATCACCTTCGATGCTCCAGAAATGCCAATCACCTTCGATGCTCCAGAGATGGTTTCCCTGAACTTTGTTGCACAACTTTCCAAGGTGTTGAGCTTAGGAATTTTATCATCTACACGAATTTGTTGCTTTCTAGGACGTCCGCGAGCTTTCTTTCCAGCCATGGCAGTGATGACGCACGTTTGCTTAACAATATAGTGGGTCTTTTTCACATAACGTAAAATAATAGATTGACGGTGAATACCGTAATTTATACTATAAAATGTAATCTTCTTAAATTCTAGCTTGGTAAAAATCAAAAGAAAAGTATATCAAACCGTTTCGCTTTCTATATGGAACTTAGGCTCATCTTCACAAAAGTATTTAAAGATATTAATCTAAAGAGATACAAGAAACCCAGACTTACTACTATATTGGAAATAACTATAGAGTAGGAATGAGGTCAAATAATGAAAGAGCCAAAAAGAAAAAAAAAGGACAAAAAAGTAGGAATTAGGATCAACTCCGATTTTTGTGTATTCCTTAACCTTCTCTTTTTCTTTCCCTTTTCCTCTTTGATTCACACTGTATGTGAGTTATCCACCCTCTCAATGTAAATGCTCTTAGTTTGTAAGTTTTCCTCTGTCTTTTCAGGGAAAATTTTATATTAAAACAACTGGGCTGCCTCCTTTTCAACTTTATAGCCCATATTTCAATTTACAATTGAGTAGCTAAAAGATTAGAGGCCCATATCCGAAAAAGGGGCGTTATTTCCGTTTTTTGGGAGTAAGAAGTGGGATTTTCTTTGTTTCAGCAGGATTTTCTCTATTCTTTCCAATCTTCTTCCCCAAATACTACAAAAACGAGATCTTGCGATCAATGCAGCTCCAAAAACCCTAGAATTTCTTCTTCATCTCGAATTAACAGCAAATCAAACATGAAAAGTGAAATTTTTTTGCTGCAAATCAGCACAATTTTCATTTTTGCTGCAATTTTGATTTCAATTTTTTGTTCGATGGAGATTTTTCCAGTTTACGTTCTTCATAGTGGTGAATGGGAAGAAAATAAGTTTATCAATTTCGTCAGCGATTGTGTAATAATCGAGTCGACATTCAGCTACAACAATTTAGTTGTAGCTATTTCGGAACAGATTAGGATCGATAGTGAGTTATACACAATAGAGATTAACTTTCTCCCAAATGTTGGTTTGCCACCGATCCTGATTTACAACGATACAGGTGTTAAGGTGTATATCGAATTAAAGGAGAAAAACTTGAATTTCACTGAATATCCCTTGTTTGTGAAAGTGAAAGAGATTTATGTTAATCGTTTGGTTGCTACAAGTTCTAGTTGTGTGGTTGCTACAAGTTCCAGCTGTTTGGTTGCTACAAGTTCAAATTCTAGAGATGTATCCACAATTGATAGCATTGAGATTATTGATATCGAATTTATTGAAAATACGAAATTTAGTGAAAACACGGGTATAATAGATGATATATTGAACGAATTTGTTGAGGAAGATCAAGTTTATAAGGATAAAGAGACAGTTGTCAGTGTGATGAAGAACTTGGCTGTACGCGAGAGGTTCCAATTCAAGGTGAAGAGATCAAGCGCAACAAGGTATGTAAATAATTATATATTCGGTTATATATATGTATAAATATGTATAAAGTAGTATATATTTGTATATAGGTATTAAAATTAGTATATATGTAGTTATGTTTTTGTATACAAGTGTATTTAGAAGTTGAATGATCTTTAATCCTAGGTATCACCTTATGTGTATGGATGACAATTGTGCTTGGAGTTTCAAATCTTTTGCCGTTTTCAGGGCAAACATATTCAAAGTGAGAAGTTACAATAATAATCACACATGCGGCTATGGTGAAAGATACTTAACACAACGTCAAGCTACTTCGGGTGTAATTGCTAGTATAGTCAAGGACAAGTATGTTAATCCAAAAAAAATTTACACCGCAAATGATATAATAGATGACATACAAAAGCAATACGGGATTGAAGTGAGCTACATGAAAGCATGGAGAGCTAAAGAGATAGCAATGGCAATGATAAGAGGGAGTCCGAGTGATTCATATAAGGAGTTGCCGAAGTATTTTTATATGTTGGAGCAAACAAATCCAGGAACGGTTACAAAGTTGCACAAAACAGAAGATGGATGCTTTCTTTATGCATATGTTTCGCTATATACATCTATCAAGGGCCGGGAGCATTGCAGACCGATACTGGTTGTTGACGGAAGTTTCCTTAAAGCAGTAGCATATAAGGGTACCATATTGACTGCTTGCACACAGGATGGAGCTGGTGAGTTGACTGCATTTACCTTGTTTCTGCAGTTTGTATAATGTTGTAGTTTCATGTATAAAAGTGTATAGGATTTCACAGCTGTTGTTTTTATAAAATTTGCATTTGGTATAAAATTGTATAATGGTGTATAATTGTGTATAAGATTTGTATAATTGTCTGAATCCTAATATCTATTTTGTATAAACAAAAAAAATCCTTCCACTTGAATATGCAATTGTAGATTCAGAGAATAACAAATCTTGGAAGTGGTTCTTTGTCCAGATAAAGGGTACTTTTGGAGTTAGGGAAGTGATGTGTATAGTTTCAGATAGAAATGAAAGCATCTTCAATGCCACAAAAGCTGTGTACCCAAAAGTACCACATTGTATTTGCATGTTTCACTTGTGGCAGAATGTAAAGCGCACATTCAAGAAACATCACAAACAATTGAAGGATATCTTATTTGCTTTGGCTAGAGCTTACACGATAGAGAAGTTTGAGTACCATATGACAGGGATGTGCAAAATTGATCCGAGAGTGCAGCCTTACTTGTTCGAAATTGGCTACGAAAGGTGGTCTAGGGCATATTCCAAAGTGAAAAGGTCGATGGTAATGACTTCTAATATTGCAGAGTCAATTAATGCAGTAAACAAGGATGCTAGAGAGTTACCAGTAATGCGATTGCTGGAGTACATGACAAATTTGCTACAACAGTGGAACAACAAAAACAGAAAAAGTGCAATGGAGACATCTACAGAGCTTGGCGAAAAGTACGACAAAATCCTTCGGGAAAATCTGATTGCATCGGAGCAAATGACGGTAAAATGAATCAAATATAATGATGCTTGGCACTGCTGACTTGCATTTTACTGCTTATATAAGGATGTATAACTCTGTATAATAATGTATAATGTTCTTTAACCTTTTTTTTTTAAAAAAAAACTTTTGCAGGTGAGGCCTGCTACGGAGCAATTATATACTGTGTTTGAAGGGGTAAGGCGAAACATAGTGTGCCTTGAAGAGGGAACATGCAGTTGCAGAAAATTTCAAATGGATAAACTTCCATGTCCGCATGCTTGGGCGGTTTTGAAGAACCAGCAGCTGAAACCTGGCCAGTATTGCTCTTTTTACTACAAGAAGGATAAACTCCTTAGAACTTATGAATTTTCAGTGAATCCGATGCCAGATGAGAGTTTATGGGTAATCCCAACAGAGGTGATGGAAGATGTGGTCCTACCACCTAAAGGGAGAAGGAATGCAGGAAGGCCAAGAAAGGAAAGACTCAAACCTGCTTCAGAAAAAGAGTCTAAGAGGGCGTTTTCATGTTCTGTGTGTGGACAAGGTGGTCACAATAGAAAAACATCTAGGAATCGACCAAAATAAATAGTTGGAAACATAACACTTCCTATTACATTTGTTGTCATGTTGAGTAGTTAAGTTTCACAAACAATAGAGTTATAAATGTTGAGTAGTTAAGTTTCACAAGCAATTGACATGTTTTATTATACATGTTTTGATTATCCAATAATAGTGTCTTGCTGGTTTTAATGGTACTAAATATATTGATAGATTGTAGAAATATAAAACAGAACTGCAAACAATCAATAGTATTATATGTATGCAAATGTATAAATGAGAGTATAAGTTTGTATAAATTTGTATAACTATGTATATTATTGTATACATATGTATAAACCCTGCTACATTAACAAAACTGCAACCATAATGAAAATACATACTTTGTTAAAGGACAAAAGCAACTGAAAATATTCATTAAAATGTAATTCATTCACGGCCACAATGTGTAATGACTACCACAAATTACACAAAAACAAAAACATCTATAATATCCTTTAAGGTTATCTCACAAGTAGCAGAATAATACTTAGACAAAACTAGGCTAAAACTCCTGATACATAGAAAAACTACAGTAAAATGAAAAAAACAGAACTACTTTCTCGGTCGCCCCCTCTTCCTCTTCCTGAAAAGTCTCCCTGTGATTTCATCACCACTAATTGCACCGGACTGTTGTTTTTTCCTTCCATAATCCCACAATAGAGATCCCCACCTGGTGCGAAGTGTCTCAATGTCAAAATTATTTTTTCGAATTTCCTTACCAAGGATGAAATACTCAGCAAAGCCAGCAACAAAAGCACCACAATCACTGTAATTAAAAAGAAACAAATCAGATTCAAATAGGTACACTAATAGTAAAATAGTAAAACAATTGAGATTAACCTACCATTTGATCTGTTGGGGAACATTATTAACCAGATTAATCTACAAAGCATCAGAATGGGATTTATCGGTATATGCACCATTGTTCCAATCAATGCCCTTCTTCTCGACATAAAAATCAAAACTCTTCAAGAAGTAAGGTATCAAAATTGCATAAGGTAATGCAGCATCCAAAGAAAGTATATCATTAATAGCTCCATGGTTAGAGTCATAGATGTGGATGCATCTATCTATGAACGTAAACACCCCCAAAACCCAATGGCCCAATTTTGCTCTTCCGCCTTCACATAGATAGGGAATAAGACGTGGTCAACAGTGTGCCACGGGACATTTGCATCACAATAATATCCTCTAATGTACTCTTCTATCTCATGCCCTTCAGGAATCACTGAAGGATCTTCATTCACTTTGAAATCTTTATATAGGGAGTTGATTTTGTTACCAAAGGCAAAGTCGGTTGTAGTAAACCGCATGGCAACACTCAGCCCATATTTTCCCCTCTTCCTCAAATAATAAAAGAGGACATCCATGTTCTAAGACAAGAAATAAAATAGAACAACCATCACTACCATATTTTTTAAATATAGAAATTTATACACTATTATACAGAGTTATACATATTTATACAAGGTTATACAATCTTATACAATCTTATATTGTGATTATACAAAGCTATGGTCTCAAACAATAAAGATATGCAACAAATAAAAAAAGGCATTAGAACAGAAATTTATTAAATACCGTGTCAATCAAAGGTCGACCACAATATGCAAGTGAGTGGAACCAATCCTTCGTGGTCACATTACACGAGCCAAAAGTAAAAGCTTCCACAAGATTATTTACTTCATCGGGATATATATTTTTGGCACTTCAAATCACAAAAAATAAAAAGTAATCAGAACTACATTCATTGACAAGTATTATAAAATCAGAACATGAAAGATTAAAGAAAGTGAAGATACCTTCGCCTCGTATCCATCCCATTATCAACAAACGCGCAAAACTCTTTAGCCAATGGCGACAATGGATCAAAATCATCAATTTCGATCGTGAAAGGATGCTTGATATCAAAAATGAGCTTGGGCGCCAATCCTGATGCCCCCAAATCAAAAACTGGCAAATATGGAGATTTGGCATATTTTCCTGGTATTTTCTGTCGAACTGACTGTTCAGGAGAAATGTAATCATCTTCTACGTCTATGATGGATTGTTTGTGAAGAACAATTTGGGACATCTGTAGCGCAGCTAAATCTTCATCGCCAATGTCATCCCAAAATGTGTCACCCTTGATATCACCTGCTGCCCCTTAGACAGAGAAAACAAATAATAAAAAACTTTAAAATGAAGAAAAGAAAAATAAGACAGAAAAAAGATAAAATGCTGAACAAATACCATGATCAACACCATCAAGTAACTCCCTCGTCAGCTAGCACGTTATCTTGATTCACTTGATTGACAAAGTAAGGAACAACATCATATTGATAGCCATCAAATTTGCCAAGACCAGATGTATTGTCATCAGACACGCGCTGACGAATCTAATAAAAAACAATATAAAGAGAAGGCATGTTGAGTGATGAATTCAGAGAATGCATAACTGTTGAGTGATTTGGTTTTATCAGTAAACAATTATCTTAGAATCAGTAAAATCCTCCCTCGTTTGCTTGGTTTCCTTCATATTCAGAAAACTAAACACTTTTTCAAAAGAAGAAACTACATAATTGTTGAGTGTCGTCACTGTATCAGTCAACTACAACAAAAAAAAAAAAAGTAAATCAACAACCATGTTTATAACCAAAAAACCATGTATATACAAAAAGTACTGATAAACTACAGAAAAGCTAAAGGTCCAGTACCTTTCCAACAACACTCCTCAATTTCTCAACTTCAGCATTCAACAGATCAATGCGCGCCAAAGGATCATAACTCGGGTTAGGCTGTCGATCCATATTCTGAGGAAAAGGTCGTTTAGACTATTGCTCCGTATTCTGAGGATAAGGTCGTTTAGACTGTTTCTCCATATTCTGAGGACAAGGTGGAGATGCAGCGACAGAATCATCAGTGTGAAAGGCAGGCACCACAAGCACCTCCCCTGATGCAACATCATCGGCATTAACTTCAAAAAGCGTGTCGATGTTCAGTGTTGACATCTCTTCACGAGTAAGGGAAATGTTCCAATAGTTCAACTACAAGAAAAACTAGATTACAATAGTAGAAAAAGGAAATTGTGACATATTCATAAATATACATACAGAAAAACTGAAATCATATATGAAGAAGTATTATGGTACAAAATGTTTACCTTGTCGATACTACACATGACCACTCCGCCAGTCAAATCCGCATATGTTGGAGTTTCAGTCACTTTCCAATTAAGAATGCGTGGCACATTTGTGCCAACGCGAACAGCTAGATACTTGTCAACCATAGAGCAACACTCAAAAAACCATATTTGTAATGCAAGTGGCAAACCTCCAAGCCTATACATGCCGAAAAACCCGAGTTGGGACAAAAACGGTCGAAGGAAAAAAGAGTGCAGCTCGTGCTTTCAGACTCTCCGATGTCCGAACTTATCTTAGCGACCGATCATCGACCTGCACGGGTTAGGATCGGACAAGTCTCCAAAAAATTTATGGAAGCGAAGAAGAAAGAAGACTTACCTTTAGCAGTAGTATCTCTTCAAGTGGCCTATATTCCAGTTATTGGGTAGTTCTTTCCCATCCATCGTTCCTAACTTGTACGAACCCTTTCCGGTTACCTTCAAAATGGTGTAAGGGCCTTCCCAGTTCGGTCCTAATTTCCCTTCGTTAGGGTCTCGAGTGTTGAGGGTGACTCCCTATATTGAAGTGTCGAAGACGAGTCCTTCGGTTATAATATCTCTCGATCTTTTGTTTCTGAGCTGCCATCCTAACTAGTGCGGCCTCTCTCCTTTCGTCTAAAAGATCCAAGCTGGTGAGCATTGCTTCTTGGTTGGTAACCTCGGTTGCATACCGGAATCTAGCGCTGGATTCGCCCACCTCGACTGGGATCAAGGCCTCGGCTCCGTAAACCAAAGAGAAAGGAGTGGCACCGGTACTAGTCCTTTCGGTTGTCCGGTAGGCCCATAGGATTTCGGGCAGCATCTCTCTCCATTTTCCTTTTGCGTCTTGTAACCTTTTCTTTAGGTTCTGAACGATGGTCTTGTTGGTCGACTCAGCCTGCCCGTTTCCGGTGGGATGGTACGGGGTTGACAATACCCTCTTGATCTTGTTATCCTCGAAGAATCTTGATACCTTGCTCCCAACGAACTGTTTCCCATTGTCACATACTATTTCGGAAGGCATCCCGAACCGACACACGACGTGGTCCCAAAGGAAGTCGATTACTTCTTTCTCTCGAACCTTTTCGTAAGCCTGCGCTTCAACCCATTTGGAGAAGTAGTCAGTAACCAAAAGAATAAATTGAGCCTTACCTGGAGCTCGAGGAAGCGGGCCCACTATGTCCATTCCCCACTTTATGAAAGGCCATGGGGAGATGACCGAATGCAGCAGCTCAGCAGGCTGATGGATGAATGGCGCATGCCTTTGACACCTGTCGCATCTTCGTACAAATTCCCTTACGTCCTGTTCCATGTTGACCCAATAGTATCCAGCTCGAATTATTTTTCGGACCAACGCATCCGCGCCCGAATGGTTGCCACATGACCCTTCGTGGATTTCCCTCAATACGTACTCTGTGTCTCCGGGGCCAAGGCATATGGCGAGTGGTCCTCCGAAGGTTCTTTTATATAAGACTCCGTCCTCGGCCAAACANGTAAGACGACGTACTAACGAACGACTCGTCCCTACCGTTATAGACCTTTTTTTCCATCTCCTGGAATATACTCTTTTAGCAACCTATTAACATCCGGTTTGTCATAGAAAGTGGCGTCGTCTTCTACACACTTCAAACCAGTGATAACAGCAAACTCTCCAATGCCAAAACGCAGCAAACAACCATTAATTTGCACCCACAACTCCCTTTCACGTCCTGGGACGACTTCCCTCAATAATATACAATGAATAAGTTGATTTGAATTTTAAATTGAGGGAGGTCCAAGAAGTACCCAAAACAACTAGCACGGAACATTTGAAGCTGTGTGTCAGTCAAATATTGCTTCAAAATGC